AGGTTCATCTGTTTATTTACAGACTAGTTAGTTTTTGTTAATCCTATGGAATGTTAAAGTAATCAAAATAAACGAGTAAAAATACATTAATATGCTAATTGAGTAGTTTTCATGTGATCTATTTAAAAAAAGCATGTTTGTTGTTGTTACAGAACATTTTATCGATAATCTAAAACTAACGATCTCAAAGCATTTAGGCTTTGATTCATTGAATATTTTAATTTAATACAACTACTATGAAGTTAGCATAATATGCAATTGACAACGATATTCATGTATTCACCAATACCGAATAACCAGTTGTTTGGAATAATAATTAGTACACATAAAAATCTAGCTTAAAAGCCATTTCAAGAGTCTAAGGAAAATATTGGAACATCGTGTAGGTGAGCAAAAAAACGACACACATTCCAATAACTATTTAATAATCTATACATATAATATAAACTAGCCGTTCCCTGTGGCTTCATCCGCATGAAATTATAAAAAAATCTTTTATTGTTTACATGTGTCAAATTGCAAATGTCAAAATGACATGACATGACAAAACTTGGTAATCTTGCTTCCTTGATGTTGGCAACAACTTGTGGTCTCTTTCCCACATTAGGGTTTTTAACCAAAATATTTACCCTCTAAGTTTAATGGTGTGAAAATATACAGCCTAAAGCGTGACGCAAGTGTAGGGCTTTTTTTTTAAAAAAAGAATTATTCAAAAATTTGCTGTAATTGCTGACATCTTAGGCAACAAAGAAGTGTGTGTTTACGCTTTATTATAATAGTATAGATAGTATACATGGAGTGTCTGTTTGCGATATCAAAGGAAAATTAGAGATTCCGAGAAGATGTTTTTGCGTTGCTGATAAAGAAAATCACATTTAAAAAGACAGACATACTGTCTGTCCACAAGCCGCGTTTGTTCCGGATAATCTCCGAAACGGCTGGGTCGATTTTGACCGGACTTTCGCTGAAGGGTAGTTGACATTGAAGGGAGAGCTACTTTTTTATCTTAATGTCGCGTGAACGAAGTTGCGGGTAACGGCGAGTTTGTTATAATTTATTAAATGCACTTCAAAGTTCATAAATCAAAAGTTATATAAACTTAAACTCATTTACTGTACAACACTACGTACACTTGTACCTATCGTTCATTATGATTTATTGAAATAAATTAATAGGTAATTTTGTACCCGCATATTTATAACTAAAACAATTACGTTTATAATTAAAGCCTTCTAATAATTTGCATCATTAAATGAGGTTCTACGCTAATAAGATGCTGAGAAAATGATTGGAATGTTTTTGTACCAATTTTAATAGAAAACTTAAGTTTGAGCGAACAAATAACATAGAAATTACATTAAAGGTAGGTGAACAGTAAAAAATACGGTCGTCATAAAATATAAAACTTTAACGACAGTAAATATTGACATAAGTGCAATTTTTTCATTTCCATTCATCATATAAATAACAATCGTTGTTTATCGTACTGCACAGCTGTTCATGTTTTTTTTTTTTCAATTTGTTGTCTACTTTACTTAATAAATAAAGTAGTCAACATATAATTACATATTTTATTAATGTTCTATGCTAATAAATTTATGATATTGTAAAATAATTAAAGTAATCATTACAACATAATATACATTTGCATATTACTAGGTAAACAAGTCGTTGGAAAATCATATAGGTCATATTTTTACCGTTGATTTAAGTACTCTATCGTATTACAAAAAATACACAAAATCTAGTATCGTCATTCGAGTACATCAGTACTTAACATCATGTGGGATCGTAGTCAAGCGTTGCATCTTTATCATAACGGAAAATCATAGACATATTTCTATATCGGGATAAATTATCTCTCTTGTCACAATACATAATTACCTTTGGGTAATCTACACTCGTTTGGACGTCAAACTGAACCAATCCGTCCATTTACGTCGTTACAAATCTATAAAAAAATATACAATCCTCTAATTCTTAATACTGAAATATTTTTTTAATCTGTTTCTGCGGTCAAACCAACTGTTGACAGCTAAAAGTAATTTTATTTGGTCGTTGTCTTTTTGCGACAATCTTGTATAGAGGAGTTTTACCTTGAGGGAAAATGTGTGTATTCCCGTTGAGTCAATTTCCCTACAAAACAATCGGCCCAAAGAGGACTTTTTCCTTTAAAAAAAATGTTACAATTTCTCAATACATTCTTCGCTTTTTGTTGACCGCATTATAAACTTTGGCTTAACCTTACTAGAATTGTTGCATCAGTTCTAATAGTCATAGCCCTTGAAATAGGTTAAAACAGATCGCCCATCGTAGACAAAAAGACTAGCGTAAAATAAAGTCAAGGTACACGTCTCAGAAAAATTATTCCTATTGATGTAATTAAAAATATTACAATCAATACTTCTACAAACCAGCTGAGATTAGTACAATCATAAAATCCGCAAGAAATCCAGCCAATAGGCTATCAATAAAACGTTTAGATAAATATCATTAATACGAGTATAAACATTTATTTATACGTACTTACGTTGGATGACGTCAAATATTTTCTGCTACTAAACTAGTGTGTAAATCTATCTTACTAATACTATAAATGCGAAAGCTTAGATGGATGGCTGTTTGTTAGAGTTTGTAGCCTAAATGGCTGAACGGATCTCGATGACATTCGGTATAGATGTAGAGGATAGTTCGGAAGAACTCAGAGGCTACTCACTTTTGTTTTTTTTTTATTTATACACGGAGGGAGTCGCGGGCGAAAGCCAGTACTATTATAAAGAGGAAAAATTTGTATTATTTTACGTATTTGATTCACATAAAAACTACTTGGCCGATTTAAAAATTTTTTTCACCATTAGAAATGTAATCTAGCAATAACATAGTATATGATTTTTATTAATATTAAGAAACATCGTTCACGTCAATAGTAACACGAAAGCATCCAACAGAAACAAAGAACTAAAAATGTCATGAACGTACTTTTAATCACTAATTACAATCTACAACTATCTTTAATTCGCCTTTGATTAGTACATCATCATGTAAATAAATTGTATTAAAAAACAAGTAGTAAGATAATAATTAGTAGACTTAATTTAAGGTTAATCTTCCATTATTTCTTGAATGTGTTCTAACTATTGTCATATTTTACAAACAGTGTTCTTGTCGACGATATTGTTTAAACTTCTTGACATGATTCAGCCATTCATTTTTAAATGTCGACGGACTTTGAAACGACATTATAGGAAACCGCTAAGTGCGTTACGACCAAAGACATTTAAGAAATACATAGAATAGACATGGGAACAAGATTTTTTCACCGGTAACTTATTTGAAAAGATACTATGTTAGTTGTCAAGTTTAGTACGCCATCTCATGTCCTTCCGTTGATATGTTATAAAACTCCATCTTTTCTTATAAAATTAACTAAGTATCACAAAATGAAACATAAATATATAAATTATTTATATTGACATGTGGATTTGAGAAACTATCAATAGATGGAGTTAGTAGATTATGTAAAAATTATCCCAAGTGAAATGTCAACTATGCTTCCTCTAAATTCGTACATTTTTGGAATCTCTTTGGTTACGACTTTTGAATTTAATTATACATTTAATTGTCATTTTAATTATGTTCAGTAAAATCCCGAGTTGGAAAATCGTGTGTGATTTTAAGAATGACATCATTTGAAGACCATTAAGTATCCGCAGATTTTATGACAATAAAGTGAATTGATTACAGATTAATATAAATTGTGTTTTTAGAGTTTTTACATTTTCATCATACTAATCATACTAAGATTATAAATGCGAAAGTTTACATGGACGTATGGATAGACGGATGGATGGATGGATGAATGGATGTTTGTTAGAGTTTGTAACCTAAACGGCTGAAAGGATTTCGATGAAATTTGGTATAGATGCAGGGGATAGTCTGGAAAAACATATAACCTACTCACTTTAGTTTTTTTAACACCACGCGAAAGGAGTCGCGGGCGATTGCTAGTATTATTTAAAATAATAATCCTGTCACTAACATCTGAATCACTAGTCAGATTTTTTTAATGATTGGTAGGATTTGTTACAATGAAGACGATAGTGTTTTATTTTAATAATATTTAGATTTTATTTGTTAATTTTAAATTATTGCATTCTCTGTAATTTACGCTTCGACCTTTGACGTTTGATAATTCTTAGAAAATGTATTATTAGTACGCATAGCCAAAGCCTGCAAGCTTCAATATTTAATTTCTAATATTGTAGATTTTAAATTTTAAATTTGCAATCAATTTTGATGATTTATTGTAAAAAATTATTAATCGCTAATGAAGCTTTTTAAATTTTTTTATGAGGGTTTGTATAGAGTACAGTTATATAAAAAAGTTTCTCATTGTAAGCTTCCATAGTTAGACTTAACTTATGAATAAAAAAAATATTTTGCCTCCTAATCTTTTCTTAAGATCAAAACCTGTATTTATTTCTAAAAACCAGGTACTTTTTTAATATTAAGCTATGATGATTTATTTTTCAACTAAATGAAGTGATTTCGAGTCACATGGTTCTACAAAAAAATAATTTGTATCTAGCCGGTCTGAACTAGTTCACATATCAAACGCTCGACTTTTATTTTGTTAGAACTTATTTAATTATTGCATAATATATCGTATTAACAATTAGCATTTATAAGTCTTTAAGCTATTTTACCATTTATTAGAATTACCTTGTATGTAAGTACAAATACGTTCAAAATGTAAAGTATCGAAAATGAACTGTTTTGCAACATTTTTTTGAAATTCACAAACCTAGAAGAATAAATATAGGGTATAGATAAAATAACTTCGTAAAAGTCAGTCTACTTAACACTAAAGTACTTTTTAATTTTTGTATTAAAACGAGTGCTTTTTTAAAAAATAATGTGTTATGTTAACTTGTAACAGATATCAGATGATTCAATGTTACAAGTATTCTGTTTACTAAGAAAATTATATTAACACTTACGTTTCAGGCTTTTCCTGCGATCACCGAGCAGGGGGTAAGTTGCATTTTTCTGTAATAAATCTTGAAGTTCCGGCTGCATATCAACTTCGATATTCCTCGTCTTCATTTTGTCTATCACAACACCAATATAACACTTTAAATATTTTTTTAATTGATATAGTTTATTGTCACGCACAGGTCACTCTTTTTGTCCTTTAACTGTGGCGTATGGGAAGTTACTGAGAATGGGATGTGAGTAAAATTGGTTTTATAGTATTGTTTTTCCGAATCGTTTTTTCATTGTTGAGACGATGATCCTAACGGAAAGTCGCGAGTCGACTGCGCTCGGACGGTCAAGGGTGCGGGCCACGCTTCCGAACACGGCCTAGCCAGTAAACATTACCACTAAACCCCAGCACACACACAATCTATTGTTTACGTATTCATTAAGTTAACATTGCGCGATTTAAATCCGCAATAGATAACAATGTATTAAATAATGTTATTTAACTTTAGTTTTCTTAATAGATATTTGTAAATAAAATCTTTTATTATTTTTAAAATAATGTAGTTATTTCAAGCGTCATAAAACAATTACAGATCACTTTAGGGCTTTTGGTTTAATGTTAAAAATGTTACATTTACTCAATATTCTATATACGGTTTAAAACGAAATAAATATGAAAATAGACTGGTTTTCTATGGAACATTTTCTATTTAAAAAATATCTTTGAAACTAGTATAACTGCGTACCAGTTTTTTAGTTAAAAAATGTCTTCGTTTAACAGAGGTAATTTTATTTACAAATATCTTCAAAACGTTCGTTGATATTTGTATCATTGACAATTCATAAGCCATTATTAAAATAAACATAATTGCATACAATAAATCTTTATCTTCATTCATATTGTATTTAAGGTTAACTTGATTGCACTATTGTTTATATTTACGTTAATTAACACATTCTATCTTAATAGTTCTACTACAAGTTAATATTAAATTAACTTTATTTGATTAGCTGCTTTCTGATCGTGTCATTATGTAAAGTAACATTTGCTGCAATTCTTATTTTATCTTTTCTTTACTTACAGATTTACAATTTACATTACTAATAATGCATTTAAAAGGTGAAAGGTGTTATTTTAAAATAGTGATAATGTTACGCGATACGAAATAATATTAGTTTTTAAGTATAAACTGGCAGAGAAGCCAAGTTAGGTGTGAAACTGGCATTTCGTTTGTTAGGGCAAATATTTTCATGAATCATCAGACAATTTCCTGTATTGTGTCGTAAAGTGCCGAAGGTTCTGGTGAGTTCCGGTGAGATCCCGGAACCCTCCTCTATTTCAATAGAAGCTAGCTACCGAGAGGGTTTTAGTGGGTACAAACCTTACATAACCCCTTCCCCCCAGAAGGTAGGGTATCTTTTTGAAGATTCCCCCCCCGCCCGATACAAATAAGGTAATCTTTTAATAAAGTTAATACATGAAATCAAATCTAGTAAGTTTTCTTTTCTGAGTTACTGTTTTTTAAGTTTTCTTTCCAGTATTTGCGTTACGCTATGGTTTTAATTTACTTTTATGTCTAAGCGGTACTTGTGGGCCTACGTGTCTACTTTATCGCACTATATAGCATTGCTTTGGTTTGTCTCGTGTCTATCGCTTGCCTAACAAAACGGTTGAAAATACGTTTTATTCAATCAGATGGCCCCATATGTTTTACTAAATTGATAGTTATTTCTTCAATTGTCATCATTATAATAAATTAAATTGAAATATCCAATTTTTCTTGCATATGTATTAATAAACTGCTCGTATATTGCATACTTGCGGATACTTCTCTAGGAAGTAGATAATAAAAAGTTTGATTGACCTTAGTGTTTGACGTTATACAAATAGTAGTTTGAAAATATCTTGAATACAAAATAAAAAACTGGAATTACAGTCAAATGACTTCGACTCGGTCTAAAATAAATTCCGTCGAATAAGTATTGGGGTACGGTTTATAAGTAACAATCGCTACTAAATTTTTATTTAAAACAAAAACATCCTCATTTCAAAACATATCTGATTTATAAAAACTTGTGTGTTTATGACAAATTTTCTTTATAAGGATAAAAGTAATAAATTGCACGCAACTTAATATATGGTGAAGAAGGATTTGGTAAAAGATTACGTTCGTGCAAACAGTTAGGTAATAGGAGTCAATTATAATTTAAGTGCGTTTTTAAGATAATGGTACTTCCCCGCAATAAATTCTAATGCTTGAAAACTTTCTTTGCCATAGCTTTGTTACCATATATGTAATTAAGTGAGGTTTTGTTTTAATTATGTTATGATTATGCTTGATATTTTCCTTATCCATCCCTTATCTTGTTGTCTTATCAGGTGGTACTCCTACTGTGTCCAATCAATTATCTAGGCAACGTCCCTCCAAGGAGGGAGTTCCTCCCCCCAGTCTCTCTTAGGGAAACCCATACCAGTCAATGCAAACTAATAACTAAGAAACGTTCAAAATGGTTTACATTTGGTTGACGAAACTTCAAATATTTACACATTCCTGCACGTATGACTTTCTTCGGAAGTATATACTGGCCTACAATTATATTAAAACACAAAGTAAAAAATATATTATCTTAGCAGTTCATTGACTTGAATGGTATTAAAGTTGATGAAAGAAATTCCGGTGATCAAATATTCGAACGTAAAAACAATAAAAAATCCTTGTCAATTTGTTTCCGCGTATTAACAAAAAAACCGGTAGTTCAACGGACATACTGAGTCGTGTCGCATTGCAATTCACGATCTAATATTTATTACATTAATCGGTCTGACACAAGATATAGGACGTGGGAGAATTGGATAATTATGTTACAAATAAAACGTTAAAGTAAACTTGATTTATTGTATCAACATGAATATTTATCAATAGATCCAATTACATAAAATAATTTTTCGGTATTACAAAAAAAAGCAACTCGAAGTAACAATTCATAGAATTGGGCTTGCATAGCAATTTTCAAGTCAAAAGGCAAAGCATTATAACAACTAATATAGTGAAACATACATTAAAAGAACAAGAAAGAACGGACTACGAAAAAACGGAAAAAAAAACTAATAAAAATCAAATATTATAAATTTGCAGACATAAATGGCACATGATAATAATTTTAATATGAGGTACTTGTCACCAATGTTACCTGAGAAACCCACGAAAGTTGTTTTGGGATTTCCTAATAAAAGCTGGTTTCAAAGACCGAAAACAAACTTGCGGTGTTCCAAACTACAATATGTTATGTATTGCGGCAAAAATTATTATCAAACGAATATCTTGTATCACAAAAGCAATGGAAATCCCCTATACTCTATACGTACAAAATTGTAGGTAAAGGAAATCAACTCGTATCATTTAATTGTTAGAGGATTTAGATTTTTTTTTTAATTTTCCTTGCCATATGGAAAAATCCGTAGCTTTACTTTGTGATATACAGGGACGTGAAATGGCGCCATTTATACTTCTGATCGTTCATCAAACAGGCAATGGACAAAACTTTTTTCCTTATATGTCTCCTATAAATATATTATACCTACATACGTACTCTGTCCTGTATCAAGATTCAGACTTTGTAAATACCGTAACTTCCTATCTCGCAGAGTCGCGTTGTGAAATACTTAGTTCTCAACGTTACAATTTAGTGGCCTAAAATTAAATGCTGGTGACGTATCTGCAGAATGTCTATTATTCCGCTTTTCGTTTGCCACCTTTCTCCATATTCCTGTCCTTTACTCATAAGCGTTACAAGGGGAGTGTACCAATATATGGTTCTTGGCATACGACAAAAGGCTAAAATGATTTCACATCATATGTATCTTTTATGTGATCGTGCTAATGCTATTAAAATACTACAAAATGATAAAAATAATCTTTTTATCTGACTTGAGCTTTAATCTACTCAAATTACACTAACCTGTTTTATCTTGAATCTTACTAATCTTACTAATATTATAAATGCGAAAGTTTAGATGGATGGATGGATGGATGTTTGTTAGCGTTTGTAGCCTAAACGGCTGAACGGATCTCCATGAAATTTGGCACAGGTTTAGAGCATAGTCTGGAAGAACACATAGGCTACTTTTTATCCCGGGAATAGTTACGGTTCCCGTGGGATTCATTAATTTAGTTTTTTAATGTTTACTCGATCATTCTGCAACGGTTCAACATATCTTATTGAAATTTGACACAGATAGAAAACAAAGTCTGGAGTATACATGAAATAAGCTTCATCTCAGAGAAATGTCCGGTTCCCGAGGGATACGGAGCTTTTTGTAATTTATATAGTTCGTATGTTTTCTAATACCACGTGGACGAAGTCGCGGGCAACAGCTCGTATATTATAATTTTCTTTGAGCTATATTGTGACTTTAAAACATGTTTTGTTTCTTGAACGAACCAATTATAGACTTATTATTCGTCGATAAAAACATACTTGAAACGTGATAATTGTTTTCTATGTTTCTATAACACACATCTAAACATGTAATTACTGCGATTAGTAATATTCCCGTAGATACACAAGTTTAATTAAACCATAGATAATTGTTTAATAAATCGATTTGTATATGAATATGATTTAAAACAAATGTTTACAAACAGTGCACAAACGCAGGAACATGCATATTTATATCTTGAATAGTGATTGAACAAATTTTGTTTAACAAGACCACCAAGCAAGTGACGTTTCATCATCTCCCAGTCCTTATCCTACACCCATAGGAAAACAGCTAATCGTCCTCCAGGTTAATCTATCTTCCGTCATCTCAGTCACATGTCTCTTTTCACGTAATCCATCCACCACTTTCTAGACCTACTTCTTCCGGTGTGCCCCTCCATACTCATACCATTTATCGGTCAAAATTCATATTCGATCCGATCTGAGATAGAATATGAAACTGATGAGTACATTTAATTTCAATAATTGTAATGTAATTATAATGCCATTTGCATGCGGCTTAAAGGCGGAAGTTTTTTTATCAACGTGAGATAAAATGAGACACTTATCGTCTCAATCAGTATTTTATTAGAACTAGTCATAATAATAATTGATTATACTGTAATCCTGTCTATCTTAATTAACTATTACACTACTGTATTGCAGAAAATCTTTATTTACATCTTATTTTAATATTAACAGTCGAATGCGAATGTTTGGATGAGTTATTTGTAACAGGTAACTTTGAAACAGCTTCTGACATGCGTAATCGAGTCTACGCATGCCAGTTACATCGCCACAAGCTGAACAATTTTGGATGAATTTTGGGTAGACAATT